GTTCAGGTCCCTCCTGACCCTAGCTACTATGAAACTATGAAACAACTGCTGAATTCAGCATTTGTTACAGCAATATTCTTGATAAACTATCATATTGAGTTGATCCTGTGCTGCAACATTCCAAAAACTTCAATTGGCACTGTTCTTGGACCACAAAGGACATACTGAGAAATTTAAGAATGCCATGCAAGGTAGAAACCCTACCAACAACATCAAGTGAAGAACACACTGGTAGATCATCTACTCCAGCAGTTTGCTGGAGGATGTACATATTCTGCCAGAAACATTCTAATAAGAAGACCATGAGTCTAGTGGTGTCACTTGAATCAGCCAATGAATTACACAAGCTGGCAGAGAAGAATCAAGTGTTGCATTTCTGAACTGGCATTGAAGATCTAATAGCTGTTGAGGCACATTACCATCCTGAATGCAGGCAGGAGGAACAATGGAGGTAACAAGTCTCTCATTCCCATTCACATGTGGATATTATACAAGAAGATATTCTTCTTTCTCCTGAAGTGAGAGTATGGCATCAAGTGATTGATGAACTAGATGCTGGTTTTGCATTGGAAAATGTGTACAGTCTAAAAGATATACCTTAAAGAAATTGCAATTTAGTGGAAGATGAAGGCAGTGGATGTCCTCTGATCACACTGAAGCAAATTAAGCAAGAACTTCAGACTTACTACCAGACAGACATTCAGTTTCAGCACCAAAGAAAGTCTTCCACTCCTTGAATTCTGAACTGTGATAATTGGTAAAGCCATACAAGCAGTAGTAACTTCACATATAAATGATGAGGAAGAGGTTGGCCTGCAGTTCAGAGAAGAGTTTTCAGACACACAAAACTTGTACCATGCTGCTCTCAAGGTCAAAACAGATTTGAAAGTTATAGCCAGTAGGGGTGTGTGAAACAGGTCCTATTTGATTTGGATTTGGATTTGGCCCGAATCTGGGACAGTGATTCGATTAGTTGATTCAGACCACTCTGATTCAATTTGGCCGAATCTGAATCAGAAGATTCAATGTTGATTCAGAGAATCAGCAATTTGGACATAGACACAGCTTTAAATGTTTTTTCTACATACCTCGAGATACCAGGCATGGCTCGTGAGTGCTGTGATGCTGGGGCAGATGGAGCATCCCACAGGAGCGTGATGGGGCTCCCCACATGCTCAGCAGCAAACCTGGAAGTGGACCAGAAGTACTTTTGGTCCACTTCTGGGTCTGCCGGGAAGCATGCTGGGGCACCCCCCTGCACCTCCCCTGGCTTGGCAATCATCCACGGGGGGACCCTGGGTGCCCCCCCCCCAGTTCCAGAAGGCACCACTTGCCAAGCCAGGAGGGCATGGGAGGACCCCCCTGCTCTCTGGCAGACCCAGAAGTGGACCAGAAATTCTTTTGCTCCACTTCCGGGTCTGCTGCTGAATGTGCTGGGGAGCCCCCCACACCTCTTTGAGACACTCCATGCACCCCAGCATTGCAGTATTCACAAGCCGCCCGCTACCTACAGGTATATAGAAAAACATTTAAAGCTGTGTCTATGTCTGAATCACCAAATCTTTCCAAATCTCTGACCTTTGCCACCAGAAGTCCTTCCCCTTACCACCCCAGAAGTACTCCTTTCAGCAAGGGTTTGTCATCTCAGCACCAGAAAAATACTAAATTATATTCTAAAAATCAAACATTTACTACAACACTTATTAATTTCATTTCAAAAAACATTTTTGTCCTCATTCACGTGTCTGTGTAGTGTACATAGAGGTGATTGCACAATAGCTTAAAATGAAGTCTTACCCTTGTATATTGTAGGGGGGTGTGGGTGGGTGGATATAGGTTTGTGGGTATGTGGGGTTTGGGGGAGGGTGTGGGGTTTGTGGGGGTGGATAGGTGTGGGTATGTGCGGTGGGGGAGCATGTAGGTGTGTGTGGATATGGGGTGTGGGTGGGTATGGGGGCTGTGGGGGGCTGTGAGTGTGTGGGAGGAGGGTGGCTGGGGAGGGTTGTGGCATGTGTGGAAGGGAAGGATTTGCCCACAGCATTCCTCCAAGCCACACTCCTGCTGCTTCTGGACCTGGGACACTGGTGCAGCCCCGTGCTCCTGCTTACAGCCACTTCCCCTGATCTGCCACTGCTGTCCTTCTGCCGCTTCCTTGTTGTCCCAACCCCCCCCCCCCCCCCACCCCCCTCCCCCGCACCACACCTCAGCCCCCCAGCCCAAGCCCGAGGGAACAACAAAA